TTTGGTGGTTACAAAGAGTAATATCATATTAACTTCTTCAAAGAAATAGAAAAACAAATTGCATATATATAATATATAAAAGAATAAAGTTGGTCTCATTGCATATGCCAAATTAGAAGAAAGGTAATCTATTCTCCTTTTTTAAATGGTACATTTAGCTAATTAATCAATGTAAAGAGATGTTGCCTTCCATTTAGATTATGACACAATGCTACGACCTTATTTGGCCAGGATCTATTCCATAGGTTTCAACATTGGTTGGAATTGTAATGTTGTTGTCGGAGAACAGGATTTGTTCTATAGCATCGTTCCCAAACTCCATTTCAACATTGGGTGGACTGGTCATACGGTTGTCCAAAAGATGCTTCAATATAGGGCAGCATGGTCATGCGATTGTCCAAGAGAGTGTTTAAACTTTTGACATATTATAGTCTCTAGTTTTCCATGGAAAACTTTATACATAGATTCTAAAAATTTTGTAAAAGTATTTTAGCCAAAAGTTTGAGGAAAACATATGAATCCTTAAGTGCAAATAATCAAATGTTTGAATCTATGTGAAATTAACTCATATCTTAATGTAAATGATCGATTGAGTTTATTTCATATTAATATAAGCAAGGAAGATCCTACTTTTTTAATCTTTACTACTACGAAACTAAATTGTGCGGCAAAATTCAATAAACATTGACCATTCCGAAAATAAAAGTAGGATGTAACCAACAAAGAGACAATAAAAAGATAGGTGGTTAGCTTTATGAAAAAAATGAAAACAAAAACATTTTAACATCAAATCCTTGCTGTAAAATGATAAAAAAAAGGAGTCTTAAAGAAAAATTATAAAAACAACTTATGAAATTAGGATATACTTGAAAAATATAAAGAACAATTCTTATATAGATGGAAAAAACACTAAAAGAAATAATTAGTCCACTTTAAAAGAGTTTTCTTCACTAACTATGCTAGCAAATAGCTTTTAGTTTTCTTCAATTGCTTCAACATCTTCAACAAGTGTTTTATAGTGTTGCTTCAACTCATCAATGCTTTTATTAGGAACCATAGAAGCAATCTTGTCCCACTGTTCCTTAGAGTCCCCAGTCCAGTGCATGGCAATGGCGCTCTCAAAAGCTATGTCTTCTTCTCTGCTCCATACTACAGAAGAAGAAGAAGCAGACATTATCCCTCTTGCTTGAAGATCCTGAATAATACTTTTGTGCCTTCTTACTAGTTTTTCAAGTTCAGTAGGGAAGTTTTATGCAGGTGGGGATGCCTCTTGATGCTTTTGTTCAGCTGAGGTTCTTTTGGGAGTTGGAGAGAAGGAAAGAAAATAGGTGGGCAGGATAAGAGAAGAAAGTAAAAGAGAGTGCAAGATAAGAATAGGGAACCATTGTATTAAATGGAAAAGGACCACTTGTGAGGTAGAAGGGATGGGTTCATTTGTCATGTCCATACAAAGTCATGGCCAAAAAATTTCACATCCAAGAACAAGCGGAAAAAGAATCTCACGCTCTCTCTTAAGCCCTACCAAGAAATTACTTGCGCAAATAGCTACAGGCTACTTGCAGCTCCATTAACATCTCAATCCGGTGAAAGAATTTTACACATTATTGTCTGTCATTGATGCAGCGTATCAAGGGCAGTATGAAAAAGATTTCTCAAGAAACCAAATGCAAGGTTTTCTTTAGTTCACTTATTATTTGGCATCCCCTCTACTAAGGCCATTTCAAAATGTCATTCTTCTCCTTTTAGACCATGCACAATTTGGGCATTCCGATCATGATATTAGCAGGAAAGTAAAATGCCGCCAGCAAAGAAGGATAGATTTACCGATGGGTTTTCAATCACTGGTCGTCAATCATTTCTCAACTCGCTGGGTTTTTGCAAGACAACTTTGAAAGTGTTAGAGAAGAGAGTGGGTTTTTGCAATATAACTTTGCTTGGTGGTGGGTTGGGTCTTCAATCGTCTCAATGGGTGGTGGAGTAAGGCCGTGATTTTTCGTCTCTCGGTGAAGGCTGTGTGAAAGGAAAATAATTTCAGAATGATAGATAAGGAACTTATTTTCCTTCTCTCGGTGTAAGTTCTTTTTCGTCAGAAATCATTTTCTCAAATTAATTGACAACCAAACAACGGAAAATGTGGAAAATGTTTTCCGGAAAATATTTTCCACCCAAACAAACAGACCCTTAATGTAAATAATTGATTGAGTTTATTTCATAGTAATATATGAATCTAATATACATTGAAGCACTTTAATTAATCAACCTAAGCAAGGAAGAGCCTACTTTTTTAATCTTTACTCTGACGAAACTAATTGTGGGGAAAAATTCAGTAAACATTGACCATTCCGAAAATAAAAGTAGGATGTAACCAACAAAGAGACAATAAAAAGATAGGTGGTTAGCTTTATGAAAAAAATGAAAACAAATACATTTTAACATCAAATTCTTGATGTAAAATGATAAAAGAAAGGAGTCTTAAAGAAAAATTATAAAAACAACTTATGAAATTAGGATATACTTGAATTAATTTCTTGTAATACCTTGTAAAAATATAAAGAACAATTCTTATATAGATGGAAAAAAACACTAAAAGAAATAATTAGTCCACTTTAAAAGAGTTTTCTTCACTAACTATGTTAGCAAATAGCTTTTAGTACATATTCGACATACATAAAAGTCACGTCTATTTTTATAGTATATACACATAAAAACTATGGCTAATAAATTGAAATAATCTCACAAAAACATATCACATGTCATTTTCTTAATGTGCCAATAATATATTCTACAACAGTATAATATATCTTAGATTTTTTTTAACATAACATGGGCATTTATATAATTTCCATTTATTTTTTAATTCCAATGGTAATATTCAGATATTTCGGCATTTTTCCTTTTTCTTCTACATCTAATGTTGTTCCTTTTGTTTTCTTTTCCTTTCCTAGTACATTATAGAATAATAGTAGAGAAAGATATTCTACACTATTATTACTTGGTTTTGTAATTTAAAGTCATTCAAAATGTTTGTTTAAGTGGATCTACTTTAAAACAATGCAAAAATTTCTAAGAAACAAAGAATTTTTTGAAACAAATGCAAGCTGCATTGAAAAGTTGGTGAATTATATATACTAACAGCGAAGAGATGTTATACATGGTATATCTTGCACATATTAGTATAAGAGAACATGATTTGTACATTGCCTGGTCTTGCTTAGGGTTAAGTTTATAATTTAATAGTATATTAATTTGCAAGGTTGTTGTGTACATAAAAAGTTTTAGAAAATGCAAAATGAGATACTTGAATTATGAATTCCATTTTATAACAGAAAATGCAAAAATAAAATGAACAATTAATGTGTAGTTAGCTAATTTGGTTTGTCTTTTCTTAGCTAACTATATGTTCTAAAGAAAATATTCTGGTAAAAAGGGATATGTATGTAGGTATTGTGCTCGAATTGAGTTATAGAAACACTTTAGAAAACCAAAAGAAAGTATGCTATAGATGTTATGCACGTATTATATTGGATCCTGCCTCTCTTTGATTTCATATTTTAAAACAAGATAAAGATTATTAGCCAAAATAATTTCATAAGATCAATATTTTATTGTGATTTAACAGTCTCTCAAATAAATTTTTGGTTAAAGAATTAATATTCTCATGTTAGTCTACTTGTTTAATTCTAGCTTGAGATTTTAGTCTTCTGTTTGTTTTGTGGGACAATGTTACTCATTTGTAACCTGTATCTGTCAAATATAATTCATTTTAATCCTACCAAAAATAAACAATCAGAATAAGTGAACTTCACTTTTGTTAGAAGTCATACATTAAAGATTTATATGTCAAGCTGTAAGTCATATCAACTTATAATTTGGGATATTACAAGATAGTTTCTTTGTATACTATTCTTTCTTGGAGATTAAAAGATATTTCTTCTAAAATCATTCTTTCTTGTAGCTTTTTTTTTTTTTGGGTTCTTTGTTGCTTAAAAAGTACAGCTAGCTATAATATCGTGTTAGGTTTTACCCAAATTCAATTTAGATTCAATGTCCTTACCAATTTCAATCTACTGAAAGTCTATTTCGTACTTTTATTCAATATGTCGATTGTTGATAGATTCTACAACCATGTTTAATTCCCTTAGCCTAAAGAATATTAACTCATTTAAGAATCTCCAAAAAAATTCAATGTGGATTATTAAGGAATGGAGAGTTTCTTACTTTAACCTGAGAGGTCCTTTTTTTTTCCTTTAAATATCTTTTTCCGAATTATTCTTTTGTCATGATTGTTATATTACTAAACAATTATTGATTTAGGTTAATAGCTAGTGGCCTATGTCGTGAGTCATAGAAATAACTTTTATATTTCATACTTATCATTTGATAAGTATTTGTTTAACGATGGACAAGTGCATATGAATGGGTTTCACCAATTGTTGTGAAATTAGATTGAAACACAATTTATGATGTTTGCCAAGCCAAAATTTGTGTGTATAGAGAGATGTGTATATACAAGGATTTTTCTTACTAATTTCTTTATTTCGCTTGAGGTTTCGAGCCTAATTTTTTATTTGTTATAGAATGAATCTCTCTATTATCATTTAACAAAAGCGAGAATTTTAAGTGACAATGGAGAAGATGAACCAGTCCAAGTGGAGAGGGACTCTAGGGAAGTGCTCATGGAAAAAATCAATGCGATACCCAGTCCACCCCATGGGCTGGTGTTCCGAAGCCCTGAGGGGGCATTTGAACGAACTAAAGGAAAGGAAAATCAGAGTTATAGTAACAAGAAACGAGAGCAAAGAGGAGACCTTCATACAGTAACGGTGAAAATGCCAGGGCAGAGCAAAGCATTAGGTGGGCAGAGAGTTTCGATTATGAGAAGGGGTCTGAAACCAAAAGAAGGGGCAGCGGCAATGGGGGAGTGCTCACGAAGGGTGGATGAGCCACGCCGGGACATCGTATTGCGCGATGTAGGGGGTGCAGAAGATACCCTAGACTAGTCATCGGATCAAGCAAAGAGGAGGGGGAAGCAATAACAGCAAATCTGACATAGTATAGCAAGTTATTTTACTAATATGAACCTCATCAAATTTCCGAGAAAATGTTGCCTTCAGTCCCTTCTTAGGTTTTTTACCCTTCTCCACAGGAATTAAGCAGGCATTAAAAGCACCAGGCAATGACTGGAAGCGAGACCTCAGCATTCCTAAGGTTCTTATCTGACAGAAGATATGTTCCAAATTCATAAGCTAAATATCAAAAAGCATCTGATCTCCTAAAGAACAAAAAAGAATAATTTAGATTACTGTGATGGTCAATAAACTTTTTCAAACGTACTATTCCAGGCAATTTAACTGTTCAAAGTCACACTTCAGCCACTCAACATTAGAAACACGTGATATCTTGCCATTCAGTCCAAGTAGCACATCAAGTTACAAAAAGTGCCACATTAGTTGCAGGCAATTTTTTAAATGAATTTTTTTCAGATCATCATTTCTCTCTTTCTTTCCCCTTTCTCTTTTCTTTGCTATCTTTTCCTTCCTCCTCCTTGTTCTACCTTCCCAAACTCTAGGTGACAAGACAACAAGCTATAGTAGGCCTCTACCAGTCTTATGAAGCAAACCCAAAAACAATTCATGGAGGTTTTGGAAATTAATGAAAGCAAGAGCACAGTGTGTAACATGCTATGTCTCAAAGAAATGATTGAACTCTACAGAAAAAAATGCAATATGGTCATTTCAAAAACATAGAGAGACTGATACTTTCAAATTACCAATTTCCCTTAAAATGAAGCTCAACTGATACTGAGAAACAGAGAATCAATGAATCAATAATAAAGCAATGCAAAATGCTTAATTGAACCACAGAGTGATAAAATGCATTCTTTACCCTTATAACAAATACCAATATTGCTTCCTTGTAGGAATTCTAAAAAGTCACCTGCTAGATTTACCAGCCCCTCTGGTTTGCTACAACATGTACCTAAGCAACTCATTGTTTGGACCAGTTATTGTGTATCAACTAAGCAAAAGATCTGATTAAGGGGTAATTATTCAGTCTTTTCACAACAAATATATCTTTGATATTCAATAGCACGAAATTCAGTCCATGTACCAAGTGGCCAAGGTTACCAACCTAATGCTGATTCCTCCTAAGATTAGAGGAACAAAAAACTGCTCTCATTCCCCCCCTTACTATCCCCCCCCCCCCAAAAAAAAAAAAGAGACTGAAACTAAGAGTATGAGAAGTTTAACCAACCTCTCCTAGACGCCGAAAAGCTCCATATATGCCGCCAAATATTGTGGAGAAAATAGCATACCAGATCTGTATATCCATGAAATAGACCTGGGAACAAAATGAAACTGCATTTTGTAAAAAGAAAAGGAAAGATGAAGAAAGCAAGACATAAAGCAACAAGAGAGAAGATCAGAATGAGGACAACTTATCTCATTAGGAACTGCAAAAAATTAGTATTATTATGACCAGGAACTTACTAGAATGATAGGAGCCCAGAGTGCAATCACCACTCCTATATTTTTATTTGCTGTAAAATGATCATAAATAGACATTTAGAGGGATAGCAATTTTACATTTACACAACATCTCTAAGGGAGATTTACATAATTGGATACCTCGAGGGAAGAACTCATGCCATGCATAACGTGATATGTGAACCTTCATTATTTCTTTTGTTGGATTTACGAGAGGCTTTATCTGCAATAAAAATCTGTCAAGCCTATCTTTTACATCTAGGCTGATAACTGACCTCCAGATTAATTTCCTTGAACAAAGAACTTTGTGTAACATAAAGCAGTCATGGCAGAATGGTGGTCTCAGCTACAAATCTACCTGAAACACTATGTCATTAATTTGGTCCACCGCAGCCCTTACACCTCCAAGTTATCTTAATTTCTATTTGCAGAGTCAATTTGTCCAAATCGTACTATATATCACAGGATTATTGACACAAGGAAACTGATCGATTCTCAAATGTGAATTGATGGACAAGAAACTAAATGGTGCTAGTCAGGAAAAAAAAGGATAAGACTAAAAGAACAGATAAGGGATGCATGCGGCTAAAGGTCAAGTTACACCCAGTTAATAAAGGATTCTGTTTGATAGAGTATAATGACAGCTTATTATGCATATCGTCTTGCTAGGTTCAAACCCACCTTTTAGTCCAGCACCATGAAGACCAAGAACAAAGAAGAATCTGAATACAAAAGTCTTTTCTGCTTTTTGGTGGTAATTTAAAAATACAAAGTATATACTTCTCTCCTACATAAATCTTATCCACAGCCATTGACTTTATAGGTATTTTACTAACTGTGGAAGAATCCATTTTCACGATCATACCTATGATATAATCAATCAATCATGTGGAACGCCAAGAGACAGAAATTTTTCGTGACATGACTAGACTACTGATTTAATACTGGGATTAATATTATATTTAAAGCATGCTAAAAGTGTAGCTTCGTTTACTTTCTGTGAGATGAAATCATGGTAAACAAAGAGGATTCGTGGCATCACCTCTATAAAGAAACTGAATGCCAGCTTGGCTGCTAATAGGAGAACCCAAAATAGAGTGTATCTGGGATAGATGATTATTAATAGTGATCAGGATACATCATACATAAATCTTCCCAGGCAATGAGAAAAGCTCAGAAAGTTTACTTGAAAAGAGAAAATGTACTCTCTTGCATCCCCCTGCCAACAAAGAGTCGAGGCTGCATTGTTCAAGCAAAGGAAATTGATTGCATGACAAGATGACTTTAAGAATCAGAAAAAATATCTGAAGCTTAAAATACAGGAGACTAACTCATTTAGAATGCATGAGCTTATATACCTGAGACCACCACATAATGAGCCTGAAGATTTTATAATCCGACTTCTCAAGATACCGGCGGATGAAGGGAAACAGAAACAATAATCCAGAGAGCATGTTGGGAGACAAATATATCAGACTTGCAATAATAAAGAAAGAAGGGGAACTTGCACCATTTCCAAACCAATTCCTAATGGTCATCGCAATTCCAGCAGTGTTTTTCCAACTATATGCATAAGTGACTGGCAAAACAATCACCCAAGCAGCTGCAGAAACCACCTTTAATACATATCTTAGCTTCACATGTGGAGACATGTTGTGCCATGCTTTCCAACTCATAATTACATCCACAACAGCTGAATATATGATGAAAAAGAAGCCATACATTAAATACAATCTTGTGCAGCATATGTGGCATACAGAAAAATGTAGACACACAATGACCTCCTCTTTCCTACAAAACTTAAGCAGTCATTTTTGGTTTTATGCATTGTGGACCAAAAGTACAGCACCATAAACCAGATAAGAACACTATTTTTGCTGACCTTGCTGATTCATTTGGTGTGATTGTCAAAATCCTAATCCTTTCCCAGGATTACATTTACAGTAGCAATGTGAATTTTTAACAAGGTTAAGCATATCCAGTATACGCATGAATATCTTGAAAATAACGTATCAAGAAATAACTGAACAAGCAAAAATGTTAACAACAAAGAACATGAAAGACCGCACATGTCACTATTAGTTGACATATAGAGCATTAAGACATCACAAAAATGTAATCTAACAGAACGAGATTATGATATCCATTCACCTTGGATAAGTTTCAGTATTGCAGCAGTTATGAAAATGCTCAAGACTTTCTTGAATACATTTGCCTCAAATACAGAACCAAGATCGCCTGAGCCATTCCAAGCAACGATGATCATAGCCTGTGTTAATGACATAATAGGTGTTATACTTGGAGGAATAGAAAACAAAAAAAAAGGTAAAGGAAAAACAAACAGATTACTGAGACACTTAATTACAACTCCAAGTAAAACGGGCCAATTATAAGTTTTCTGATGATGCTCTTCCAGAAGGTTCTGAGGGATTTTCTATAAGTACTCTTAAAGTGTAGGGAAACCTCCACAATATCCTTCTAGAGCTGTATTATCTCTTTGGAGGGCAGCCAGTATCTCCCCAGCCCCCCCCCCCGGCGCTTTTTGGGCTCACAGGAGGCTGCTTGGGGTATGCTTCTGACCACCCCCTAACTGCAATACTCGTTCGGTTGCCCACCACTTTACTAGGTTGGGCAGGCGTTTTTTGCCCCTGCTCCCAACAAGTTGCTGGTCAGCATAATGGAACTACAACTTGAGAAGTAAGTAACCTGGTCCTTGTTTTATTGCCATAGGTCAAGTGTGTCAAGAAGTTGATGAATAGCAGCAGAAGATGAGAAAGAAAGGAAAAACTTGGGATGTTGAAGAGCTGGAAAAGAGAGAGTGAATATAATCCTTCTTTCTTTGTTATTAAGTTGTACAGATTTTCTTTTCAAGATAGAAGAACAAATTTTATAAAACAAAGACAAGTGATACAACCTCGAGGATGAGAAGTCCTCAACAAAAAAACATAAAGGAAGTAAAATTCTGGCTTCTCCAGTTTTCTTTTTCTCTTTTTCATTCAACAGTTGCATTCCACTTCATCTCCTGCTAGGCATTGGATCTTTTTTTTTTTTTTAAATTAGCAGGTTTAATGGGGGTATAAGTGCTATAATGTGAATGGATCTTTATTCTCATTCAAATTTGAAATAAGTATTGGTTGACATTGCAAATATAACCATTAGAAACAGGAAAATTTAACCCCATTTAAACTTGATAGGTTCGAAAAGGATTAAGTGTCAACTTCAAGGAGGTAAGCTGACTCTAGCCAAAAGCTAAATATATTCACAACATAAATAAAATGATTACCTGCAAGCACAAAATAAAAAAGCTCCACATCCTATCAAAACTCCTAAATATGTGCCAAAACGAGCGTATCTCAACAAAATTAATTTTTCCCATCCATCGATCCCCTGTACTTCGTTCACTTTCCTGGTAGCATCACATCCACATAGGAGCAAGTCTTTAGGTCATATATCCAGATAACGAGTGAACTATCTTCATTAAGAAACAGATAAAATGTCCAAGAGAAATTAACTGGATGAACAATTTAGGGATTAAGAAGAAAATCATTTTTAATAAAAAGCTGCAAAAGACAAGAATGACATGAATAACATGGTCAAGTAGTCGAAAGAGGTAATCAATCATTTCAGGTAGAAGAAAGCTTTTTAATAGTGAACATACAGCTAAAGGTATATTATTCTGGTAAGAGAAAGAGAAGGGCAGTGAACAAACTTTCACATAATTAGAATATTGCAAACATTGTATTTCTGATGTTTTCTGAAATGCAAATGTAAATAGTATCAATTTTCCTGTTCTGCTTTCATCATTTATCAGTTCTTATCCTCAGAAAGATTATCATCCAATAGAAGTCAGCAATCTAAGCACCAGTTTTGCTGTCTTACCAAACTGACTGTTGCGCCTTTATCACTGAAAGACTAAATATTGTAGTCTTCAGCAATGAAAAAGTTAATTGGCTCAACCATATGGAGCATTTTAGTATGAATATCTACCAATAGGCTTAATGACATCAAAATTGGGTATGCCTCAACATATAAGAAAATCCAGAATTTTTTGTTGTGAAAGAATTTGGCACTTTGAAATTGGACAAAAACAGTTAGCTTCACAAAGATTATGAAGGGATACTCAATGCAATACAGAGAAGGAAGAACAACTTTACAAAGTATTTACGAGAATTTGTTCCGTTTACTCAACTTACAAGTAACTTCACATTTATATTTAAATAGGAAATTTCGTTAAAAGAGCTCCATTCAACCAACCAATTAACATATTATCAGAAACATTACTAATTTTATCTTCTTCTTTCCTAATCACCAGAGACAGGTAAAAGTTCAATTATTTTTGCAGCTAAAAGGAGGATATAATATTTGAAAGACAAAATTTGGTCTAGCCCTATCAACAACAAAAAAACAAAAAAAAAAAAAAAAACCTGAAGTGAAATGTAAGAACTGTGCCTCCAATAGAGGATAATAATTTTGCTCTTCAAAGTCAATTAGAAAAGAGAGGATCTAGTAACTGACAATAATGAGGTAAGAATGGTATAATCAGAAAATAGTATATACCTCAGTCTTGTCACTGCGATGCCTTTCACCAGGAATACAGAAGAAGTCGGAATCAGCACGCATTGGCCATCCGAGCCTGAAACAATTTTCTGACCTGCAATTTGTTGCCAAGCACTACTGAGTTTGCACATTTTTTGAACTGGAAAACATTGACTCCTATTCTAAAGAAGCTTACCAGAAGTACTCATTTAAATCATCGTAGTTTCTCCATTGAGCATGCTTTGATTTTCCATCTTTGCTCCTTTTAGCTTCCTGTGTGGCAGAAAAAGCAGTAAGAGACAAAACCCACCTAAGCTAAAGATGGAAACAGGAAAGTTTAGAATCTCAGAAGCCAGCAAGAAGCAATTACCCCAGCTATAGTGTTATAAATTGGAGTTACGACTTTCTTCAGGAAAGCCTCTTCATCACCACCATAGGCAGGCTTAATAGTCTCACCTGTTGTAGGACTAACACTTCCAGCAAGCAGACCATAAAGTTCAAAGGCCATCTGAATATAAACAGCAGAATAACTTAATATCGAGGAGATTGATTGAATTCAATATAATCAGAACTTGAGCATAATAAGTTGAAAAATATGTCAGCTTGGATGTGCAGTTCTTTGAGAAGCAACAAATTTATTACTAATAATAGTTTTGTCATAGTTCATTTAATACCTTAACAACTTGATACTAAAGCATTCAACAAGCATTGAAATACATATGCTACTGTAGACAAGTTGATCAGATTTGTTTTTCATTGGGAACAGCCTTTCCTTTTTCTTTTGAATTCACAGTCATACAAGGTTTCCAACAATCCAGTGCCCAGAAAGTGAATATGTATGTTCCCCAAGATACTGCAGATGCTCAATTTTACAATGCCTTTTTATTCTTCTTCTCTCTTTATTTCCTAATATTTGACGCTAGTCCCTAATGGCTGGATCCTTTGTGTTTCTCTCTTCTACCAACAAAGCACAAAACTCCCAACACCTTCAGCAATTCAAGAAGGCCACAACCATCCTTAATACCCATTTTTCTGCTGCCATTGGTAAATTCCTTTCACTTCTCCGATACCAGTTTTCTTTTCGACACTACTAAGTGACCTGACTTGCAGCTAAGATAGGAAGACCGTAATCTGCATCAGTTCTCTATGTAAAGTAGAATAGAATACACTCAAAACAAACGCAATCCTTTAACCATAAAAGTGGAGTTTATGAATATCACAGGCAGACAAATCATCACAACAATTTATGTTATCAGGCTATACAGACAAGACAGTTCCATCAAGAATCAAGCAATTATCCAAACTCACTAGCTACAGCCAACCCTATGCATCTTTCCAGGGAATTTGTACTTCACACCAAAAGAACATGACTTTAGAGCAGGGGAATTTGTGGGTTGCAACTGAAGCTATTGCCCTACATGTTCTGATCACCCAAATAACAGGCTCACCTATATATGGAAAACTAAGCTGTTAAGGCAGTCCAATCATGCATCGAAAACAAACTAAACCATCTGTGGTTACTAAATGCAGATGATACAAAACCATTCCTTTTTATGCTGTAACTGACTGTGCTCAAATTCACCAGACCAATTAAAATAAGATCTCAACATATTGAGGAATAGTATTTTAACCTAACAACCAAGGAATCAAATAAGCACTTGTTCTTCATCTAAATATCATGTACAGCATTGATATAAGATGAAATTGCTCTAGTACAGAACCAGAAACAGATACGTGCGTTGAGAAATATATAAAAACTGCATCTTTTAGTGCTTGTGTTACAAACTGGACATGCTTCTTCTGGACTCAATCAGATTCCAATTTTATGTGCATAACAGAAAAGAGTTACAAGAAAAGGCAAAACTTTACAGAATTTTAGTTGCAATAGGCAGGAAGAGAGCCAAAAGTAACAAGAGACCTTCAAAGTTGACAAAAAGGATTGGATATCTCACTATAAAACAGGGGGAAAAAAGTAATCGTACATGATGGTAGATATAACAGAGGCATTCTGGCATAAATCGTAAATTTGCAGCCTCCCCCCAGATAAGAAGATATAAGCCCATGTATAACAGCTTCCTTTGCTGCACTTCTTGTTGGATTGTCGGCAACCTGCAAATGGAGACAATAATGGAATAAGAAGTCTAAAAACCAACAAAATGAGGCAAAAGAATGTAAAGATACAAACAAAAAGCAGAGTGTAGAATATTAACTTATGGAGGAGGAGGTGAATTCACTTACCAAAGACTACTCTTGCGACCAAGATACTTGCACCATTTCTTGTAGTTTTTGAAGAGCTTTTTCATAACTTCTGTAAGTGCCTCGTCATCCAACTAGAATACAAAGACATACAGGACAGATCATCAGAACACGGGCGATCCCACAAAAAAAAGTAGAAAAAGTTGAGGGGTGGCAGTTTAGGTGAAATTATGGAAGCGAAGTACTTTGGGCTGCTGATCAGGCTTTGGAAATTGACGAATGTGCACATTTGCCAGCAACAAGATTAAGTGTTCCCGCTGATTTGATACATTATGCTTCTGTAGATGAATAATACTTCAGCGAATAAAATCATTACAAGAAGCAATGAGCAATGCTGTTCATCTCTAAGTCGCATATGCAACCAGTCGCATATGCAACCATTTGGCCATGCCCTACTTCTCAGTCATCCATGTATATACACATACAGCTCTAGCAGAAGCAGCACTTACCTGAAAACCAAACATAACCTGAAGCCAATCTAAAATATCCTCATCAACTTTTTTCTTATGACCCTTAGGCCATGGTAGTCCTCTAATATTACGAAGTGCGGAAACTGAAGCTTGAATCTGTGACAATGCAAAAGGTCCATAAATATGCCGAATATTGGCCCTTAGCTATAATTTGATGAAATTACTAGAAACGAACCTCAGGATATCCCATAATTGCTTGACTTGCACTGTCAGGATCCAGGGGTAGTATATTATAAGGGACATAAATTGCTGTCTTCTCTGTAACCTTTGTGTGAGCTTCCAAAATCTACATCCATAAAAACTAGGGATGTATAAACGGTCGGAAAGATGTAAGATCAAGGAAATAGGAAGCATCTATATCTCTGGAAAAAGTGGAGACTGCTATCATAATCTGTTATGACTAAAGGAACTCTTTTTTGAGTATGAATTGAGGAACTTGTCTTCGGCGTGAGCAAAGGGACTTGTCATTAACAGGTTGAGTAACTATTGTAATTGACTCTCTTTTTCTTTTCCTTTTGCACTTCTTTTGCAGAAGAAATGTACATGGAGAACTGAAGCAATTAACAGGATGAAACCTCCTCAAGCAGATGCATAGAAAAGACTTCCTCTGCAAATTGCCAGTATACTTTCCTGTACAATCAAGATTATCTATGATCTACAAGGAAAGAAAGTAGAATACCTCATCAGCCACTTCAACTGCTTCTGTCAAATTAACGGCCTTCAAGACCTCAAAAAGTACAGCAGCAGTTTGGTATGCTTTTGTGAGTCGAGCACTGGACAGAAAAGAGATCATAAAGAAGCATTAAGCAAGGAATCTGCACTTAGCTGTTAAGAAATAAATGCCCACGACTGCAGATAACCTACCGATCAGCTTTATCAGCAGCATGCAACGCCTGAATATACTTCCTGTAGTAGTGCTGATAGAAACTCTGCATTTCTCGAGCATCACTCTTTGTCCTTCCAGCTAATGTTGTATCATTTTCCTGTCAAGATATCCAGATTATACGAATTTGCTCAGGCAAACTTAATTGGAAAATGTAGGAATAGAAATGGCTCATTCATCTTTAGATGAAGACAAGCAGCAAGAATATGTTTGGGTAATCCAAATATGGTGGATTAGCCTGATAACAAAGTCCTCTTGCTGATACAAGCACTAGAATATTCTAAAGTTACATCGAGTAACTAGACACAATTTTTTCATTTCAATTTCATGAAAATTTGACATTACCCTTTCCAAACGTTGAAGCAGGGCTGTTTTGAACTGACGGACTCCTCGTCCACTTGATGTTGGATCCAAACGGTGAGCTTTCTCAAAGGCATAAAACCGACCTGAGTCCCCCAGCAAGGCCATTAGAGTATGTAATATGGTGTAAATACATTTCATTCATTCCCTTCTAAATGCCTCAAAATTTTCAGTACTAATCATCTACTAAAAGACAAAATTTGTAACAAGTGAATTTCAGGAAACCATATAAACATTAGCATGTCTAAACAACTTATCATCCTTCCTATAGTCACAAAAAAGGAGGGCGATAGCATTAGTACCACAACATTTAACTAGTATTTGATCCCTGTATGACTTGTGCAGACTGAAACACTAGTTTGAGATTAAGAAGTGTAGCATAACAGTCAGTAAATTAATAGCATTTAAACTCATATTTTCTTCTCATACCATGTTGGTACAACATTATCAGCTGAACAGCCATACAACCTTCAGTATTCAAATTCATCGAGACATGCACTCAGCTCTTACAGCCAATTAGTTGATATCCACCAACGGTTTTTAGATGATGGATTGCTTAGATGTCATATACACATATTTGTGTAATAAGTAACAACCAACACAAGGATATTGAAATGGTCATGGACTCACAGAGATAAGCGACCCTGGGATTAGTTGGCTCGACCTCATTGGCAACACGTAGAATTGGTGCAATCTCTACCAGTGATGATGGAACCACCTCACTGTCCATCATAGACTCCCCTAGATTACCAGCAGTCTGTGTCCGCAGAATACGCCTCTGCGGTTGGAGGTCCGATCCCCTCCTCTGGTAAGCCATCCTTTTTTAATTTATAATCCCAACAACAAAATCAAATTACCCTACAATTCACCTGTCAAAACCCAAAATTGAAATGAACAAAATGTCACACCTTAACTATTTAATAAGAATTTGAACACTAAAAGACAAGAATTTCAGCTCTTCAGCTTTAGTGGCCTGAGAAAAAGAGTCGCCGCAGAGGGAAAAAACAGAAAGAAAGAAATTTCCACTCATCTCTTTCTAACTCCAAGAAGAGAACCACTTAGTTTCTTTCAAGAAACATTAAAGACGTGGCAAAATTGGACTAGTCCCTCCATAGCTGCATCTTCCTTCTTTATTCCCTTAACATTTCTACTCTGATTACATCAAAATAACAGCAAAACGTATTACAGAGAAAACAGAATTTAATCATGAATGACCCTGAAAACCCATATTTGGTATCCCCTCAGAAAACAGAGGAAATACGGTATCGAAACTCCCTTTCTCGTATCCCTGAAACAATCGAAACTCGTGTTTCTTTTTCCAAAACCTCAACTTCCTTTCCAACATAAAAGTAACTGAACTCGAATTTAACCAACAGTGACTCAAACTAACACCAGGCTGCTTATCAATTGAAAAAAAAAACAGAGAAAATCCTACTTTTAATCAAGAAACAGAATTCAGCATGCTTTTCTTCTCTGTTTGGTGATCAAAGCTTACCAAAAGAACAGTACAGGTAAAGGGACTCACAGATGACTTGAGAACAGCAAAAACAACTAGAAATTTACCATGAAAGATTTTATTTCGGAAATTCTTGAAACTCTGCTGCTTCCAGAGCAGAGGAATGGGACAGTGGAGCTGCAGTAAATAGTGTCACACCATGGTTTTAATGGAACAAAACAATTGAAGTCCAGGTGTAAGGGTGTGAGAAGACTAAGAAACGACTGTAGAGAGAGTTACGTGGAAAGAGAGAATAAATGGAGAGCGAGTGAGCGAGCGAAGACAAGGCGGCACCTAACTGACATGAAGGTAAGCAGAAACATTACGGGCAAGGAAAGAAGCTAAGGCGGGCAACCGAACGAACTAGAGTCTAGAGTTTGCTAGTACTTGCTTGTAGCAATAGTGATCAAAGGAGAAAGAGTGGCTAATTATTGGGATAATATCACAAACCTCCTCGTTAGGTTTTAAAAATAATCACTTGTCTTCCCCTTATAATTGCAAAATGACTATATTATCCCTCACTGAATATATAATTGACATATCTAATAAATGAAACTCAAAAAAATTAAAGAAAAAAGAAACAAAATTCACTTTCTTCCCTTTGCCCTTTCTCCAATATTTTCTCTTACTCTTTTTTTTATTTTGATGACTATGCAATTTTTTATTTGGAAACATAGTAAATTAATTTTGTTTATCTTTTTCTTTTTATGATTATGATAGAGTAGGGTATGATTTTTTTGTGTATTTTGCATAATTTTTATAGTAATTTAGTACAACTTAAAGGTTTATAGAATGGGTTGAAAAGAGGTTGGGGAAAAAAATGTTCATAAGAAATCGATTTTGAGAAAATAGAGTTGAATTAGTGCTAGTGTATTTATTTACAAATGTTTTTTTTATTTTCCAAATTTATATTTTTATAGACTATAGTTTTGTGATGTGATGGTACTATTAGAGATTTTTTTTAGGTTGTGATTTTTTTTTTTTTGAGTAAACAAAGTGGTTTAAGAGCATTTCATTTAGTAAAATAAGCAAAAGAATAATTTAGGGTTTTAAAATATTTTGCTATGCAAATAATAAAAATAAAGGAAATAAATAAAATTTTTAAAACTTTAGGGATACTAAGTGATATTGAGAGAAACCTCAGCGAAGGTTCCCAATATTATCCCCTATTTATTTTGGCGCTTTTAAGGTTTTCACTCTTGAGGAGGAATATTTTGTGGGGATTAAGGTTTTTTTTTTAACTTCCATGAAATTGGGTAGCAAATTCACACAGTTTTGGTCGGTTTCTATTTGTTTGAGGTTTAGGAATTTCATGAGTTTTAAATGGGATTGCAGCTTCCAAGGAATAAGAATGCCAATTCGTGGATAACAACCATATTTTTAAATTTATACAACGATATAGTGAGTGTAACTCATTTATTCACACAACGTTTTAAAAAAAAAAAACAATCTGTAATCGGCACGTTATGATAGAGTTCATGTGTTCATATTTTAAAAAAGTAAAATTAATTTAAAAATATATATAAATACAAGATAAAGTAATAATTGTTAATATGTAAATTCATGTAATAGGTGTTATAGGATAGATGTGATCTCAATGTACTAACGATGGCTCATTGAATACCCGTTAAAAAAATCTAAAATCAAAAACAAAATCAAAAAATGCATATTATTTTAAGCTCTTGATTTACGTGAGCTCCTATACTAAGTTTGACTTGCCATCGTCACAAATTTGAATAAACCATTAATGTGTAATAGTTCATATGTTTTAAGATTAACAACAGGAGTAAAATTAGGTGATTTCATATGTTCAAAACCTTACCGTTACAAAATTTCACTGCATAAAGTGGATTATTATGGTAAAACATAGTAACATTTTTTGTGAAAAAGTATACGTTGCTTGGGGGTTTAAAAGCAAAAAAGAATGTTGATTTGTTGCGTATTCTTGTGGTCCTTTATGCAAAAAGAACCTATTCTCCTTCCGGGCCGCACTAGCCCTTTGCCATAAACGATTATTCCACACTAAATGGCATATCTTATCTCATTAAAAGGCGACTTCCTATCTTGTGCATTATTGTGTTTTTGTTTAAAAAAGCATCACACAGTCATCAACTGCCTTTTCCACGGACAAGGACAAGAAAGCTTCAAGAATTGCACTCTTAGATAAAGGGATTAGTGCTAAAAACCATGCACAACATAATATAGCAAAAGTATACGATATGTCCAAAAGCTAATCCAAATGGCCAAGCAGGCAGTCTTATTAAACTTCCTTCTTGATTGGGATTTTGGGACCCACATTCTTTGGGACTCGGAGCACGGATCAGAATAGCGTACCACTTTTTCAACAAGTTGTAATTATTTTTTAATTACCTGTACATACTTACAATAGAAGTGTAATATTTTGTTATTGTTCATGCGAGTTTCATGCATAATAATAATTGTGTCTGTTATGAAAATTTACAAGTGGTTCATGTGAAATTACGAAACATATATAGTTTGTGTGTAACATTTTGTTATTGTTCATGCGCGTTTCATGCATAATAATAATTGTGTCTGTTATGAAATTTTACAAGTGGTTCATGTGAAATTACGAAACATAGTTTGTGTGCAATATTTTGTTATTGTTCATGCGCGTCTCATGCATAATAATAATTGTGTCTGTTATGAAATTTTACGGGTGGTCCATGTGAAATTACGAAACATCGAGAAAATATTACAACATTTCGATCGAATGATTGTCAACAACTGTCCATGACCCGAGTCCCATAGTTTGTGCACATACATAGGGCAAAAATGAGTCAAATGACATCACCATGCACTAGAATGTGCAACCAATGCTAAGATGACAGCAGTAGAAATAACATCAAAGAAAAATAAAAGCTTGACCGACGAAATGAGAAACTCTTGGTAGTATTTTTGGCTTTGTGATCATATGACATGTTTTGACCGAATTGATCAAGGATTGGGCCAAAAATTCAATGCGTGGATGGAATATGAAAAAATTCACGGTGTGTGAAATGTACCCTACAGAGTTACTTATCCCTGCTTTCATAGGTGTCCCAAATTGGGTCCATTAGTTTTTGTACAAATTTGACTTCGACACGCGCTGAGGATTTTCTAGCCAGTAATCTGGCCATATTCCCGATTTTAGAGTCATATTTACTCTGGATAACTAAGATGAGACAAAATGGGTTTTTGATGTGAGAGAGGTTTGACTCTCACTGGGCGAAAGAGACGAGTGAGAGTCAAACCTCTCTCACATCAAAAACCCATTTTGTCTCATCTTAGTTATCCAGAGTAAATATGACTCTAAAATCGGGAATATGGCCAGATTACCATGGCTAGAAAATCCTCAGCGCCAACCACTGCATATGACCAAGTGAGTAAGGCAGTCGGCAGGCAGATTCTCATGATCACATTTTCTAGTGTAAGATATTTGATAATATATACTCCCTCCGTCCCATTTTGATAGTCCTAATTCTTTTTTCACACAGTTTAAGAAAAAGTAGTTAACTTTGTTGGAACAATTAATTTAGGTAGCTATTTTTCTAAAATGCCCTCACATTAATTAGAGTACAACTTTATGGGAACTTGAATTGATGGTAAAAAAAGAATCAACTCTCATTAAATGGGGTAGGTTTATAGTAACAATAACTTACATTGAATAAGGGTATTTTAGGAAAATTAAAATACAACTACATTCTTCAATTAGAAAGTGGGCTACAATTTAGGACAGACGAAAAAGGAAAACAAGACTATCAAAGTGGGACGGAGGGAGTATATTCTAATTTTTTTAAAAAAAAAAAATTTAGATGTGTACACTTCAGTCATTACTCTAGATTAAAGTATGTCTCTGTAACCATAGATCGTGTGCAGGGTACAATCTTTACATCAGCAGTGGCAGAATTTGACTTTTTTTATGAGAAAAAATTAATTCGTTGTTGCGGACTGATCAACTTGTGTTGGCTGATAATATATACATTTCATGAAGTAATCTAAATTTTCAAACATTTTCCTGTAGTTCTGGGAATTGAGACTGATCTGGAAGACTTGAGTGTTGGTGAAATGACATCTTTTTGGGGCTCTAAGATGCACGTTACCATGTCATTGTCAATATTTCATGTGTTCTTTTTCTTTATTAAAGAGATTATATTGCGGGTCATTATCATGTATCATTCTTCATTTATTTTTATAAAATCTGGTAGGGCCTTAGAGGTCATCTTATAAAGCAGCTCAAGATAAAAAGGATTCATTTCACTTGTATTTTCCATTTGATAAAGGAGTACAAACTTTTAGGCTGCACAGCAATTCTTAAAATCTTGTGTATCCAATAGACAGCAACAAGTACTCTCTCCGTCCCACTTTGATAGTTCTATTTCTTTTTTCACACAGTTTAAGAAAAAGTAGTTAACTTTGTTGGAAAAATAAATTTAGATTGTTATTTTCCTAAAATACCCTCACATTAAATAGAGTACAGCTTTATGGGAATTTGAATTGATGGTAAAAACTGAATCAACTCTCATTAAATGGGGTAGGTTTATAGTAACAACAACTTACATTGAATAAGGGCATTTTAGAAAAATTAAAATACAACTACAATTTGAGACAGACGAAAAAGGAAAACAGGACTATCAAAGTGGGACGGAGGGAGTATTATTTTAGGGGTATATATAAATGTCTTGTGAGCATTGTGAATGCAAAACTCTCTTCATGGAACTTCACATTTTTTAGTACTACATTGATAAATTTATTTGTGCAACAAAAGGTTTGCTAAACAAAATTTTAATTTCACCAACTGTATATCTTATTATGGGAAACTCCTACTCTCACAAGAATGTAGGGGGAAAAAGAAAAAAAAGATAGCTTGAGAGTGGAGCCAAGGATTTTATAATCATTTAGTTAATATTCAAGTTCAACCAACTAAATTGGGACTTTTGGATTCTATGAACTAAAGAAATAAATCAATTTTGTCCACATTGCTCAAACACCTAGTTAATTTCATATACCACTCGAACAACACCTCACCAATAGAATAAAATATGAAGACAAAAAAAAAAAAAAAAGGTTGAGCTTTAGGTTGCCATAAAAGAAGATGATGGCTTTTTTTTTTTTCTTTTTTTCCTTTTCAGACCAAGGTGTTTCACTTTTTGATAATAATAAAATTATATGCTTTTACTCTACTTCTCATTTTATTAGGTAGAAGTCCCAGAATTAGAGATCCTGAATTCTAATTCGCCTTCCTCCCTCTCTCACTTCTTATATCCCACTTCTCTACTAGAAAAAAAAAAAAATTTTTTTAAAAAACCTTCTTATGTTATCTATTTTCCTTTATTTTTTTGGAACAAATTGTATATTGGGATA